ACAATCCACTTTACAATGTGAAACATCAGATACTAAAACGGATATGGTAAAATCGATTACAAGTAGTAAATTTATTGAAACTTATTGAACTTTTGGAATAAATAATAGTTGACTAAATTTTGATTACAGGAATTTAAAGAAATTGATCATTTAGAACGTGAATTAGAAAAGCGTGAACAGCTTAAGGTGTTGATAAAGAAAGATGGTATGAAAAGGAGGAAAAAGAAGGTGTGGTGAAATAATGTAAATAATGTGGAATTATGAAATTTGCAACTTAGAGTCCATCCAGATATCCATCGTTTGTTTTTAATAAATATAATAAAAACTATAATAGATGCAATAACCTATTAATTTTGATTGCTAAAAACTAACGGAGTCTGTTTACTTGTAAATATCAATCCCAACATTTCGGTTCATATTCATCAGATCTTGGTGTGCATAAAGTATTACCGTACGGCGCTGACTACAGTACCTCGAGTACTATTTAATCAACTATCAAATTTCTTGAATAGTACCCTCCCGGGTACTAATTACAGGGAAGGGTACTATAACAGGGGTACTTTACATAATTTAAAATTATAGTTTAATAAGGATTCAAATATAAATATTATATATATTAATACCCGGGTCTTATTCAATCTTCTGAATCACGAACCCATGAATTGTACCCGGGTCTTTTTCATAGGGAGTATTATAGCAGGGGGATATTATAGGCAGCACCGTACGGTACGGTACCAGTTACATACAAAATTATTAGCTAAGACTTTTTATTTAACGTATGTCACATAATAAAAATTAGTGATTTAAACTGCTTAAAATAACAAAAAAATAAAATCTCTAATCTGATCGATTTTGGTGAAAGGTTACCCAGATCGTACGATTTAATCACGATATATCAATTATCATACGATGCTTATTCATAAAAGCGAAAGTAAATTAACTATTAAAATTTTTGAATACGTATGTATGCGAATGAAGTTTAGGTAGCCGGACCTTTTTGAGTCGCCAGATCTCTACGTATAGCATCACTACAAAAACTAATTATAATATATAAAGTGGTCATGGTGAAAAGTGTCACGTGCAGATTCCTTTGTTAAATTTGAACAAAAAGGTCCTATATAAATGCAACCCGATATTTTTGTTTTGGTCTGTTTTGCCCGAA